GTGCCCACCTATTAATGAATGCTTGCATTTGTTGAATGGGGACCAAAGCATTTAAATGGGGCGCGACGGACCAATGCTGATGCCCTTATATGTATTGGAGAGACAACTCCCAAAGATATGGAATAATCATAATTTTAATTTATTTAAATCATACAATTCCTCACTACCAGTTAACTAGTATTTGATCTTGTGCATTTGCACAGATATAAAACATGTTTTGTTGGTGTGAACCTGCTTAAGAAAGGAGTTGAAGTTGATGTCATTTGCTCAGTGTGGAGAGGCTGAGGAAACTGTGGAGCATTTGGTGCTGCATTGCCAAAAAGCCAGGACTGTATGGAAGATGATCTTGGGATGGCATTGATCTGCAAGGCATAAATTTCAAATCATGGTGGTGGCAGATATGTGCTATCAGTAAAACAGAAACTTCGGAGGCTAGGATCCAACTTTCGACATACATCCTATGGTGGCTTTGACGATCTCGCAACCTATGGGTCTTTAGCAAAGAAAGAGTTCCTGAAACAATCATCCTGAAGAGAGCCATGCGAGAGTGGAGGGCATTTGCTGAGATGAGCTAGTAGCTATTTGTTTGTGTAGAGGTTTGTAGTGGCTCTTGGTTATTGCTTTGGTTTTGGTTGTTATTTTCCTCTTTTTTTCATGTTATTTTCTACGGGTCTATTTTCTTGTTTCTTTTAGTTAGGAGTTGTTTGCTTGGGTTGTCTAGTTTGGAGATGTTGTTAAGGCTCAAGTATATGTACCTGCTTGATACCCCGAGTGGGATTATGTTTAGACCACTGCGTGTAGTGTGTCTCCCAGTTTCTTTTCTACCCGTTGGTAGGCTCGGAGGTTATGTACTGAACTTTGTACCTTTTTTATTGTTTCTATGAGTATCACCTATCATTTGAAAAAAAAAATATATATATATATATAAAAATTATTATTTTTTCTTAAGTTATTTTTATCATTCAAAATTAAATGAGACTTAAATTTTATTTTAACCATGCAACGTTTACATTAGTAACATGGATAAAATAATTTATATATTTGTGACATATATTAAGAAAATTAACATAAATAAAAAAATATCGATGTTTGTGATATTTAAAAAGAAAATGTGCCAATCATATTTTTCTTCCAACAATACAACCAAATATATCGGTTACAACTTTAAATGTGTCAATCAAATTTAAGTTCCAACATTAGCCGTTACATATTTGAATATTTTGCTACCAAATTTAGAATTAATTTAATAACTGATTCAAAAAATAAATAATAAAAGTATATATATTAAGGTGTAACGATTTTAACAATTACTGAGTAATTAATTAAAAAAATGTACCTCTTTCTAAAAAGAAATAAAAATAAATTTTATTAAATATTTTATTAAATGCATCATAATTATATATATATATATATATATATATA